CCCTTTCCCCTCACTTCCTCTTGTATGTACTTTTGTATAACCCTGAGGGTCTCCTTCCATTTCAATGCAATTTCCCATCTCTCTCCCTTTCCCTCCCACCTCTCATCCCTGTTTAATGTTAATCTTCTTCTCATGCTCTTCGTCCCTACTCTGTTCTTAGTTACTCTCCTTATATCAAAGAAGACATTTGGCATTTGTTTTTTAGGGATTGGCTAGCTTCACTTAGCATAATCTGCTCTAATGCCATCCATTTCCCTGTAAATTCTATGATTTTGTCATTTTTTAATGCAGAGTAATACTCCATTGTGTATAAATGCCACATTTTTTTTATCCATTCGTCTATTGAAGGGCATCTAGGTTGGTTCCACAGTCTTGCTATTGTGAATTGTGCTGCTATGAACATCGATGTAGCAGTGTCCCTGTAGCATGCTCTTTTTAGGTCTTTAGGGAATAGACCGAGAAGGGGAATAGCTGGGTCAAATGGTGGCTCCATTCCCAGCTTTCCAAGAAATCTCCATACTGCTTTCCAAATTGGCTGCACCAATTTGCAGTCCCACGAGCAATGTACAAGTGTACCCTTTTCCCCACATCCTCGCCAGCACTTGTTGTTGTTTGACTTCGTAATGGCTGCCAATCTTACTGGAGTGAGATGGTATCTTAGGGTGGTTTTGATTTGCATTTCTCTGACTGCTAGAGATGGTGAGCATTTTTTCATGTACTTGTTGATTGACTGTATGTCCTCCTCTGAGAAGTGTCTGTTCAGGTCCTTGGCCCATTTATTGATTGGGTTGTTTGTTCTCTTATTGTCTAACTTTTTGAGTTCTTTGTATACTCTAGATATTAGGGCTCTATCTGAAGTGTGAGGAGTAAAGATTTGTTCCCAGGATGTAGGCTCTCTATTTACCTCTCTTATTGTTTCTTTAGCTGAGAAAAAACTTTTTAGTTTGAGTAAGTCCCATTTGTTGATTCTAGTTATTAACTTTTGTGCTATGGGTGTCCTATTGAGGAATTTGGAGCCCGACCCCACTGTATGTAGATCGTAGCCAACTTTTTCTTCTATCAGACGGCGTGTCTCTGATTTGATATCAAGCTCCTTGATCCATTTTGAATTAACTTTTGTGCATGGCGAGAGAAAGGGATTCAGTTTCATTTTGTGGCATATGGATTTCCAGTTTTCCCAGCACCATTTGTTGAACTGGAGTCATTATTATAGCTTTTGCTTCTAGTTCTTTTTATCAGCAAGAGGAGATGAACAACAATATTTTTGGACCAATACTCCCTTTATTTTACTCTTATAGATTTCAGGGTTAGAAGTAGACAAACCAAGTATTTATTTGAGGACTCTAGCATTTATAGAATAAAATATATAATTAAGTTTTTATTATTTTTATTTTTAAAATAATAAATAGAATAAAATTCAAACTTCCTACAACTTGATTGGAAGGATGAATTTAAGGGTGTTTTTGAAAAGATATGTGAATGTCAATTTGTGTGATTCTCACTTTATCAATTAATATTTGCCCTTTGTCTGTTTGTACTATGGATTTCAATCAACAGAATGACTATGTGGTAGAAACAAGTTTGGTTGGGACTGTGATGAATGGTTTGTCTCATCTACATGGATGCAAAGAACATGACCAATTTATTATTAATCTCATAAGGGGACTTGGTGGAAATCTGAATATGAAATCACGTCTGGAATTTACCAAAGAGGTAATATATTTAAAGCCTTTATTCAGTCAACATTTTTCTTTAATTTTTCATTGGCTCTTTGCCCAAATAAAATGATTTGTAAATTATAAGGTATAGAACTTTCAAGTTTAGAAATTATGCATTCAGTAGAGTAATAGTACATTTATGTATATGTGTATAGATTTACTATTTTATGATGTTAAAATTTTATAAAATGTTTTAATAGGCTAGTGTGGGACATAAAAATGTGAGACTTTAGGAACCACATGGATAAATATAATTATTTTATTGCTTTTTAATCTCAGAATAATAAAGTATTTTTATCATCTCTTTAAATAGAAAAGTTTAAGCAATTAGCAATAGAAAGATGAATTAATAATTAATAAATATTTTTTAATATGTGCAAAGGTTATATTTTTAGCCAATTTTTTTATAAAGTTAAATTCTACACCATATGGGATTTTCTTTCTGTTGGCCTCCAGCATTATGTTTCAGCTTCTTTTCTCTTTTTGATGCTTATTTAATAGCACCATTTATTGCTTTCTCTATTCTGTTTCCATTACCGTGACTATCCTGTTGATTCTGTTGTCATTGTTACCACTCAGTGCTATTCTGTGAGCTGCTTTGAAGCAGAGACTCTCTTGCCAAAGTTTAAAATAATTTTGAAGAGCAGCATCATATTTGAATTCTGCTTTACATCTGCACAGATAAGAGTTTACAGTATTAAGGAAAAGAATAACACATAGAGCGTAGTAGTGGTAGCACTGAAGTGTGTAGTACTAAGATATGTTGGAAATGAGGAATTTTAGGATGCCTATGCTGTACAATTAATGATTTAGTGTTTATAAGAACTCCATTAAAAGTTGAATATTTTATACCACTAAGTTGGTATCTTCTAGGTACTTTTATTTATTAAATGATCATTTAGAGAAAAATAGTGAAGATGAAGTATCACTTTAATTATTAATTTTGCTTGTGAGTAGGTTTAGTGTATGTAAATTTTTTTTTTTTTTTTTTTTGGTACTAAGATGATTTAGTTTGGGGATGTTTACTTGGAAGAATTAGAAAATTTTATGCATTCATCCAGGCACAGTAATGCATGCCTATAATTTCAGCAACTCAAGCAAGAGACTGAGGCAGGAGGATCCCAAGTTCAAAGCTAACCTCAGTAATTTAGTAAGACACTCAGCAACTTAATGAGACTCTGTCTCAAAATAAAAAATAAAAAGGACTGAGGATGTAGTTCACTGATAAAGTACCCCTAGCTTTAATCTTTAGTACCAGGAAAAAAAAAAATTATTACACATTCTGTTTGAAGTACATAAAAACTTACCACAACTCTTTCTTTTTAAGTTTTTTAATTGGGCACAAGAATCTCCTCCAGACCCTCACAAACCAATGGACACCTACTATGAATCAAGTAGAGGTCAGTTGGCATCTTATGTGCTGAAGAAGCCAGAAAACTTGACAGCTGACGATTTCAGTAATGGCCAAGCTCTACCAGTTATTCAGACCCCTGATATGCAACGAGGTCTAGATTATTTCAAACCTTGGTTAAGTTCTGGTACCAAACAGCCATTTATTCTCGTAGGACCAGAAGGATGTGGCAAAGGGTAAGAAGATTGTTGATAGAGTGGATATTGTGGATTTATGTCCCTCTTTCCCAATTATTTAATAGTTTTTATATTTTTTTTTGTTTAACATTTAATTTTTTTGGAGGAGTCTTTTGTCACTATTTGTGAAAAACATCATTTTGGAGAAGAATATGTCATTTGCCTGATTATATGATTTCTAATGGAAAAAGAACAATCTGAGAAGTTACTCTTAATTATATGCATACAATCATAAGAAATAAATATCTTAGTTGTAAATTACCATGCGTTTTAATTATAAAATTTAAATGTTGAAGTTAGTTCTCTGTTTAGCTTTTTTATTGTTATTTGCTTTTTTTTTGTTTTTGCAGCTCTTGATTTAGCTTTTAATTTAGTAGAATACATCTATTTTTAAGGCTTATAGGGTGTAGTTTTGTAAATAATGAATCTGTGAATTATTAGTTTTATATTTCTGTTAGGAGAGTAGTCATTTAAAAATTCTATAGAATCATATATATATATTTTTTTAATCTAGGAGAACTTAAAATCTTTCCTTCAACTGTAGGGAAACAGAATTAGTATATTCTATATATACTTTATCAAACCAAATTATTGAGAACTTTGACTGTTCTGGCTGAAAAAAATCTCAGTAGTACCTTAAAATATACATTTATTTTCTAATCTAAAATTTAAAAAGTTACAGTGATAATAGTGGATACCATATCCATGTATTCCATTTTCATTTTAAACATCATCATAATAATTTAGAAATTAAAATACTTGTAAAATAAAAGTCCTATATTGAAATAGAAAATATATGTTGGTCATATTTTCAAAGTCAAATGTCATATATCTTTTGCAGGATGCTGCTCAGGTATGCCTTTTCTCAACTCCGGTCCACTCAGATTGCTACAATTCACTGTAGTGCACAAACTACTTCTCGGCATCTCCTGCAGAAATTGAGCCAGACTTGTATGGTAATCAGTACTAATACTGGTCGAGTATATAGACCAAAGGACTGTGAAAGACTTGTTTTGTACTTAAAAGATATCAACCTTCCTAAGCTTGATAAATGGGGGACCAGTACATTGGTAGCTTTCTTACAGCAGGTAAGTCTTGTTACGTGGTATAATTTGGTATAATTGGAAACAGTTTAATTCCAATAATTTTTCTTCTAGATAGAAAATCTGCTTTTATTCTTTAGGGCCAGTTTTATTTAGTGTGTGTCATGGAAATTGAATTCATAGAGTGAACTTGTTCTAGGTTGCTTTCTTTCATTTTCCTTCCTTTAGAAGTTTGTATTACATTGAAATAATATATGACAGGGAAAGTAACAACCTTTATTCCACATTTATCTCCTGTCCTTTTTATTTTTAAAAAAAACAAGGAGGAAAGCAGAAGCTGGGGATGGTATTGGAGTTGGAGAATTTTTTACTTTATTTTTGTATGTATGTATGTATCTGACAGCAGTTATACTTTCTTGATCCATACCCCTTTCTGTCAGCTTTAACCCATTAGTCTCCCTTTTTGCCTCAGAATTCAGAATCACACGTTCTTATACAGTGTGCAGGATTTTTTCGTTTATGTTATTCAAATCTCATTAGAAATGCCAAATTCGTAGAGCTCACTATGTTTATTTAGCTTTACCATGTAACTGCAGAATATGATAAAATATAGGAAAAAGCCAAAATATTTTCCCCCATTCCTGATATTTTGTTTTGGATAATTGCTAATAGATTTATAATATCATCTGGATTTTTATGTTTACTGGCAAGAAAAATGGTTTTAAAATGAAGATAATTCAGCTAACATTAAATTCAGATTGTACTGTATTATTTTTCAGTGTTACAGAATTTTAAATATATTTCAATCTTAAATTCTTGAGGTATTAGAGGATGATAATTACATTTGGAAATCATTGAAATTCAGACAAAATATTCTGATTAGAAAAATCTAAAGTATAAACATTTTAAAATGCATTTATTTTCAAATAGGTTTTGACGTATCAAGGATTTTATGATGAAAATTTGGAATGGGTTGGTTTAGAAAATATTCAAATTGTAGCTTCTATGTCAGCTGGAGGAAGACTGGGAAGACACAAGCTTACTACCAGATTTACTTCTATTGTTCGTCTTTGTGCAGTAGAGTATGTATCTTAGTGTTTTTTTTTTTTTAATTTGAAGAGACATTATATATAATTGCATCTTATTTAAAGGTTTCCACTGATGATACTGTTTCAAAATGTAGAAGGTAAAATGGTCAAACTTAAACTCTGATATTTTTTTCTTAGCCTTCCCAAACTAATAATTTAGGATGATAAAGGCTTTAATCAAATCATTTTATGTTTTAGAAATATATAAGGAAATGAGGACTGTTTTGTATAGTCTGTGTTTTAAAGTATCAGTATCAGGAATTAAAGTGGTAGATTTTAATTTTTTAATTCAAAATGTTTTAACAATATGCAATATAAATATAGTATGTATTACTGGGTTACCATATAGGTTTTGATACATGTATACAATATATAATGTTTAAATTAGGTTAAACATATATACTTCCTTAGTCTTATCATTTTTTTAATGGAGAAAATATTAAAAAATCCTTTTTTCTAGCTTTCTGAAATATACAATACATTGTTGTTATCCATCGTCACCTTACTATGCAGAAGCTCACCAGAACTTTTTACACGCATCTAGCTCTAATTTAGTACTCATTGATCAATCTTTTCCCCTTCCTCCCTCTCTCCCTATTCTACTACTTCTGTACTACTATACTCAGCCTCTGAAAACCACCATTCAACTCTCAAATTCTATGAGATCAATATTTTTAGATTCCATATATGAAAGATATTACAGTATCTGTCATTTTGTGCCTTACTTAATTTGCTTAACATAACCAGTTCTACCCATGCTGTTGCAAATGAGGGATTTCATTCATTTTATAGCTGAATAGTATTTCATTGCATTTATATACCACATTTTCTTTATCTATTCATTTGTTGACGGGCACTTAGGTTGCTTCCATTTTTTGGCCCTTGTGAATAGTGATGTAATAAATGTGAGAGTACAGATGTCTCTTTGACATACGGATTTTATTTCTTTTGAATATGTAAAGATGGTAGATTTTAGATTTAAATGTTTTATGTGTTTCACAAAACAAAAAGCACTATTCAATTTTTGAAGATTTTTTGAAATAAAAAGAGATTTAAATCAGAGAATTAGGTTATGTTAATGGTTAATGTCTTCAGCACTAATACATCTATCCATTTCTGCAATCCATATCTGTAGTTGTTACAGTATATCCTGAATTTTTCCAATTATGGCACTGTCTCCTATTTTATTACAGTCTTGCTATACCAAACTCTGTCTTTATGCTTTCAAACTAATTGCACTTCATCTACTAATGTTCCTCTTTCTGAAATTTTACTCTACCAATTAAGCTGTATGGAAATTAATTTTGTTTTGGAGAAAGAGATTAATTCTTTATTTATGTGTTGTTTCTATTTTTATAGTTCTGAGATGGATTCTGCCTTATATATAGATATGACTTATTTCAAAATATTTTTTATAAGTCTGATTTTCCTTTTGCTGCTTTCTAAAGATCAGTGGTTTTTCCAACAATCTGTCTTTAAATAATTTCATTGGAATCCCCAACTAGGACTTAAATTTTTTGACAGTATATACTTAGGGATTTAATTTGATTCAGGTGAAAACAGGAACCATGAGCCTAGCTTTAGCCTTTGGCTATCTGGGACTTAAAACATTTCAAGTTGAAAACCACTATAAATTATCCAGTCAGTTAATGGGCAAATGAACTAAACAGACATTTCTCAAAATAAGAAATACAAAGGGCCAACAAATATATGAAAAATGTTCAACATCTTTAGCAATTGCAGAAATGCAAATCAAAGCTACACTGAGATTCCATCTCATTCCAGTTAAAATGATAGTCATTAAGAATATAGATAAAAATAAACGCTGGAGAGGATGTGGGGAAAAAAGGAACACTCTTATGCTGTTAGTAGGATTGTAAATTAGTAGAGCCACTGTGAAAATCCTCAAGATACTAGAAATGGAATCTCCACATGACCCAGATATACCACTCTTGATATTTAGCCTAAAGAATTAAAGTCAGTGTATAATAGTGATATATGCATACCCATGTTTATAGCAGCACAATTCACCGTAACAGAATCATAGAAATAGCCTCGGTGTCCATCAATGGTATGCATATACAATGGAATTTTACTTAGTTATAAAGAAGAACAAAATTATGTCATTTGCAGGAAAATGGATGAAACTTGAGGCATTAGTTTAAGTGAAATAAGCCAAACTCAGAAAGTCTGTGGTTGTATGTTTTCTCTTATATGTGGAAGCTGGAGAGAAAAAAGAGAAAAAGAAAGAGATGGGGAGGGTCTTATGAAAATAGAAGGAACACCATTAGAAAAGAGGATGGGACCCTGGGTGGAGTGGTAGGGAGGAACTGGGAAACAAAATTGACCAAATTATGTTGTCTAATATATGTATAATAATAGATTCCACTATCATATATAATTATAAAGTGCCAATAAAAATTTGTGGAAACCCCCTACAATTGCTACTGTAACTTAACATTAAAATAGTAATTTAGAGGGACTGTGGTTGTGGCTCAGTGGTAGAGCGTTTGCCTTGTACATGTGAGGCACTGGGTTCGATTCTCAGCACCACATAAAAGTAAATAAATAAAATAAAGATATTGTGTCCATCTACAACTAAAAAAAATTTAAAAACAATAGTAATTTAGAATATTTATTTATTTCATTTTTTTCTCATATGCTCTTTTTTTTAGTTACCCAGAAAGAGAGCAATTACAAACAATTTATGGAGCATATTTGGAAGCAGTTCTACATAAAAATTTGAAGAATCATTCTATTTGGGGTTCTTCATCAAAAATTTATCTCTTAGCAGGCTCTATGGTACAAGTTTATGAACAGGTATATATGCAATTATATTGTAATTTTCATATGTATTGCTATTGTTCCCAGAGATATACCTTTAATTTTCATCTTCATGTCCAGCTTTATCTTCCTGTTTTTTATTTATCTTTTCTATTAGAGATTGAACATTTTGAGGATAGGTGAAATGTGTACCTTATATATTCTATTGTATTTCTGGTGTAGTTTCTAAAAGGAATTCAATACATATTTGTTAGTAGAATGAATTAGTGTTAGATGGTTAAAACATATTTGTTGGTTGAATGAATTAGTATTAGATGGTTACTTTGATTTCAGCTCCAATTTAGCATGTTTAGAATGGTGTTCACTTTCTTTCCAAACTCTGGCCTTTCTCCTGACTTCTCTCAGTTTCCATCAACCATGCTTCAAACCTGACAGTAGCATTTGAGTTCATTTCTTTCCTTCTATCTGTGAGGAAATGTCTAAAGTATATTCCTTTATAAAGTGGAGAAGATTACTTAAGAATAGGCATGGAGAATGCAGAAGACATTTGAGTACTTTTTACTGCCAGTGGTAGTCTTAGGGATACAAAGATGACCAGTTCTCCTTACTATGGAAGTTAATAGTCTAATGAGGGATTGAGTTTTATTGAGTATAAAACTGTTATATATGGTGGTTGTTAAGGAGTAGGTTAATTTTGATCTGAGATTTCAAAAATGAATAGAAATTTACAAAGTGGTTGGAGATAAAAGAAGTTCTTTCTCGGTAAAGGACAGAATGTGCAAGTTAGGAAAAATGTGGAAGATGCTTTTTATAGTATTGGAGTACAAGTGGGGAAAGTAACATTGGAAAGCAAGAAGTTACTTTGTAAAAAAAAATTAATTAAGATGGTGAGTGATCAACAACCAATAAAAAAAAAATAAAAAAAATAAACAGTACACCTTACATCATCTAAAAAAAATAAAATAAAAAAAATAAAACTTGAAAAAAAAAAAAAGATCAGATTAAGAGTAATGGTTCTTACTAGAAGGGACAGGCTCTTTTGAGGAAGGGTGCTGGGATTGATTCAATGACTTTTTGAACATAAAATAGCTCTGTGGTTTCCCCCATTAGAAAATGGATCTTGCCTAGATCTTTGAGCCTCTTGGAACTGCAACCATCATTTTATGAAGTTTAGGTTATGAAGTCCTGAACTTCCTTAGCAGGGCTGTTTATGCTTTTTTCTTTTTCTTTTTGCCACAGACAACCATTAGCAGTATGTTGAAACCTATGAAACCCTAGTAGAATAATGTTTTAAAATGTTTATATACTGTAGACTACATATGATAACTAATAAAATCAATTCTGTTAAGTAAGTTTCTACCCACAGGTAGATATTGTCATTCTCTAAGGTCTAAGGTGACTGAAAATTATAGCATGATTATGTTCAAGAAAGTCGACAAATTGTTTACAATATATATATATATATTTTTTTTTTTTTTTTCAGGTGCGGGCTAAATTTACAGTTGATGATTATAGCCACTATTTCTTTACTCCTTGCATTCTTACCCAGTGGGTTCTTGGCTTATTTAGATATGATTTAGAGGGAGGTAAGTTTTGCTCATGTATGTGTATATGTGTATTTGTGTGCATGCTTTTATGATATAGTTATGGTAGAAATAGATGTAATAGTACTATGATAATTAATTGTATTTTAAATTAGAATTGTAGTAATATTCAATTTAAATATCATGGTTACTTTAAAATATTTTTATAAAAGTGATCATATTTCTTCTTTCAAGTGATTTATTGCTGTCACTATTAAAATTTGATTTTGAGCTATGTTTAATGTGCTTTTTGAAATCATGACATTTTTATTGAACAATTAGAGATAATAGTGTTTTAAATGTATATTTAAATCACAAAACATATAGTTTTACTAATAAAATAAATTTTAACTCTTTTTCTTTTTTTTAAAAAATATATCTGATGCCAAAATTATGGTATGTAGTTTCTCACTCTTTCTAATATTTTATTAAACAGACATTTTGAAATAATTTAGTTTTATTACAATTAAAGAAAATTTTGCCTTTTTTTTAGGATCCTCCAACCATCCAATAGATTATGTATTAGAAATTGTAGCATATGAAGCACGGCGCTTATTTCGTGACAAAATTGTTGGTGCAAAGGAGCTTCATTTGTTTGATAATATTTTAACATCAGTGTTTCAAGGAGATTGGGGCTCGGATATATTAGAGAATATGGCAGGTAATATAATAGAGTTTTGTATATATATAATTGCTATGAAAACTTTAAAATTATTTTTCTACCTGTAGCATGATTTCACATGCCTAAACAAATAAAGCTTTGGATAATTCTAATTTTTCCATAAGGAGAACTGCTTTGTTATTTTTTGCTAGATGTCTATAATATGATCTAGATAAAATATAATGACAGTAATTGTTCTTAGGGAGAAGGGGTTCATGCAATACTATCTTACATTTGTGATATAAAAATGTTTTTTTCTGAAACATTTTCACTATTAGAGTTTTTTCAATATAGCTATATGTGTATGAAACTTACAAATCATTGAAAAAAGCCACATTTTATTATGATGACTTTTAATTTTTGTTTTTTAAAGATAGCTTCTTTAATAATGATGGAAATTCAGGTGGTATTGATATAAATTATAATATGTTAAAATCAGAATCTATTTTCAGTATTATGTGCAGAATAAAAAAACATTTCTTTTCTCAGTCAATAGAAACGGCATATAATATTTAAATATTCACAGAATCCCAGGTATACAGTGACTTTTTGATTAATAGTAATGGCCATTATTTTTCTTGCCACTACCCATAATGCATTAGCACAGTACTACCTATATATTCTTGTTACCAGCTTTTTCCATTGTCATGATAAACAAAGTATAACATCATTTGTTCAAAGCAGCTATTTGGAATTATTACCACTTAGTAACCAATTTGCATTTTGAAATCTGCTATGAGACTAATAGAAAATTATCATGGTGAGAAGGCCTTTGAGAAAAGACCACAGTAAGGAAATATTTCCTAGTAAAATTGATTTCAGACAACAAAATGGATTCACTTTTTCAGAATATAAAGCTAGGCTTCAAAAACATTTCATATAATACATTGTATATTCCTAGATGTGATATTGTTCCCAGGGTCATAATTAGAAATCTAGAAATATTGTTTTTTAAAGGTAGGCAGAAAATTAAGGTTGATATAAGGAATTTTCTAGGGTATTGCCCAAGATTTGGAATTAGGAAATAAGTTCAAGAGAACCTAAGGCAAGATGAAGTGTTGAGAGAAGCCTGTATCTTATCCTCAAGAAACTTATAATCTAGTAGCAGAAACAGATATGAAAATCTGCGTATGGTGGTAACTATTGCTAGTTTGTTTAGATGTTATGAAGATCTGTGGAAATAGGTAAAATGGTCATTGCTATAGAGCATGGCTTATGTAATATTATGTTTGTGAATATGTTTGGGATGGAGCCAACATTTCAGATTTGTAGAAGAGCCAAGTGAATTCTTTCTTGAGAAATTTGCATTGGAATGTTTTAAGTTAAAAGAAAATTGAGGTAATTGTCGATTCACACTCAGTTGTAAGAATTAATACAGGAATAGCACATGTAAGTTTTACTTGAGTTTCCCCAGTGGTAATTTCTGGATAAATTAAAACATCACAATTAGGATATTGACATCAATGCAGTTAAGACAGAAAATTTTGGAGGAGTATCACAAGTTCAAGCCTGGACAACAGTAAAACCCTATTTAAAAAAAAAAAAATAGGACTGGTGTTGTAGTTCAATGGTAGAGTGCTTGCCTACCATGTATGAGCCCCTGGGTTCATCCCCAGATTTAAAAGAGAAACACAAACAAACAAACAAACAAACAACAACAACAATAATAAAAAAACAACCCTCCCCCAATCCAGATACATTTACATTATAACCACAAGCGTTTACTGTGGTTCCCTTTTATAGCTTATTTCTCTTTTATTCCTTGGAAACCATTAATCTGTTTTTCAGTTTTGTCAGTTCAAAAATGTTATTTTCTCTCCACAAAATTCTCTGGAGATATATGCAAGTTGTATATTTCAACAGGTTATTTCCTTTTTATGGATGGATTGATATTCCATTCTATGGATGTTCCACTATTTCTTTACTCTTCATCTATTGAAGGACATCTGGGTGTTTTCAGTTTTTGTGTATTACAAGTAAAATTTCTGTAAGGATGTATGTACAGGTTTTTATGTAAACATATATTTTGGTTTTTCTGTGATAAAAGCTCAGGAAAGCAATTCCCAGGTTGTATATGGTAAATACTTCATTTTTTAGGAAACTACCAAGCTGTTTTCTAGAGCAGCAGTATCATTTTATGTTCCTATCAGCAATGTATGAATGGTCTAGTTGCTCTATATTCTTACTAGCATTTGATGTTGTCACTATTTTTTATTTCAGCCATTCTGGTAACTGTGTGCTTAATTTATATTTGTGAGTGGCTAGTAAAGTTTAACATCTTCTCATGTGCTTATTTACCCTCTGTCTTTCCTGTTTGATGAACTATTCATTTTTTCCTATTGTCTAATTGGATTATTATTATTACTATTTTACTGTTGAGTTTTGAGAATACTTATATATAGATACTAGTCTTTTATTTGTAAATATATTCCCCTACTCTGTAACTTGTCCCTGCATCCTCTCAAAAGGATCTTTCACAGATAAAAAGTTTTTAATTTTGTTAAGTCTAACCTATCAATTTTTCTTTTTAATGATCTTTTGATATCAAGTTTAAGATTTCTTTGTCTAGTCCTAGATCTTAAAGACTGTCTTCTGTGTTTTTTCATAAAAGATTTTATATTTTAAATTGGAATCAGTGATCCATTTTGAGTTAATTTATATATTTAAGGAATGAGACTTAGGTTAATTTTTTTTTTTTTTGGTATAGATGTCCATTTGCTCTAGCATCATTTACTGAAAAGGCTTTCTACTTGAATTGCTTTAGCAACTTTGTCAAGAATTAGCAATTTGAGCTGGGCATGGTGTTGTACACCTGTAATCCCAGTGGCTCAGGATGCTGAGGCTGGAGGATCAAACCAGCCTCAGCAAAAGCCCAGTGAGACTGGGGATGTAGCTCAGTGATCAAGTGTCCTAAGTTCAATCCCTAGTACTCCCTCCCCGCAAAATCACCAAATAACCTAACTTTATACCTCAAAACCCTAGAAAAAGAAGAACAAATCAACACTAAAACCAGAAGACAGGACATAACTAAAATGAGAGACAATATATAACTTATACTAAGTAGGATCCTTTTGTGGCTGTACATGATGTAGAATTTCTTTGATTATGTATTCAAATATAAGGATAGGAAAGTTATGCCTGATTATTTTACTACCCTTTCTATTCCCCTTACTTCTCATTTCCCTTCATTCCCTTTTGTCTAATCCAGTGGACTTCTTTTCTTCCCCTTACCCCCTTGTTGTGTATTAGCATCCACATATCAGAGAGAATTTTCTACCTTTGTTTTTTTTTTTTTCTTTTTTCTTTTTTTGGGGGAATGGATTATTTGGCTTAGCATAACAGTCCCAGATCCATTCATTTTTTTGGGCCAAATGTCATAAAGTTGTTCTTCTTAATGACTGGGTAATATTCCATTTTTTATATGTACTACAATTTCTTTATCCATTTATCTCTTTAAGGACACCTAGGTTTGTTCTGTAGCTTAGCTATTGTGAATTGAACTGCTGTAAACATTGATGTGGCTACATCACTATAGGATGCTGATTTTAAATCCTTTGGGTATAGAACAAGGAGTTGAATAACTGGATCAAATGGTGGTTCCATTCCAAGTTTTATAAGGAATCTCCTTACTGCTTTCCATAGTGGTAGCACCAATTTGCAGTCTCACCAGCAATGTATGAGTGTATCTTTTCCCTCACATCCTTGCCAACATTTATTGTTACTTGTATTCTTGATAATTGCCATTCTGACTGGAGTGAGATGGAATATAACTGTTAGTTTTAATTTACATTTCTCTAATTGCTAGAGATTTTAAACATTTTTTCATATATTTCTTAACCATTTTATTTCTTCCTCTGTGGAGTGCTTGTTCAGTTCCTTTGCTCATTTGTTGATTGGGATATTTGGGGATTTTTTTGGTGTTAAGTTTTTTGAGTTCTTTGTATATCCTGAAGATTAATGCTCTATCTAAATTGCAGGTGGTAAATATTTTCTCCTATTCTGTAGGCTCTCTATTCATGTTCTTGACTGTTTCCTTTGCTGTGAAGAAGCTTTTTAGTTTGAATTCATCCCATTTATTATTCTTGATTTTACTTCTTGTGCGTCAGGAGTCTTATTGAGAAAGTTGGTTCTGAAGTCAACATGATGAGAAGGTGGGCTAACATTTTCTTCTAGTAGGTACAGGGTCCAATGCCCACATCCTTGATCCATTTTGAGTTCAGTTTTATGCAAGGTGAAAGATAAAAGTTAAATTTCATTATGCTACATGTGGACTTCCAGTTTTCCCAGCACCATTTGTTGAAAAGGTTATCTTTTCTCCAGTGTATATTTATGGTGCCTTTGTCTAGTATGAGATAACTGGATTTTTGTGGGTATGTCTCTGTGTCTTCTATTCTGTTCCATTGATCTTCATGTCTGTTTTGGTGCCAATACCATTGTTGTTTTTGTTACTGTTGCTCTATATTATAATTGTGGTTTCATCTGTGATGCCACCTGCTTTCCTTTTCTTGCTAAATATTGGTTTGGCTATTCTGTGTCTCTTATTTTTCCAAATGAATTTCATGACTGTTTTATATTTCTATGAGGAATGACATGATATTGTTAATGCTGCCTATCTAAGAACATGGGATATCTTTCCGCTTTTTGAGTTCTTTTCAATTTCTTTCTTTTGTGTTCTTTAGCTTTCATTGTAGAGGTCTTTTGCCTCTTTTGTTTTGTTAGATTGATTCCCAGGTATTTTATTTTATTTTTTTGAGGCTTTTGTGAATGGAATAGTTTTCCCAATTTCTCTTTCAGCTGATACATCTTGATGTATAGGAATGCAATTGATTTACGGGTGTTGATTTTATATCCTGCTGCTTTGCTGAATATGTTTATGAGTTCTAGAGTTCTGAATTCACTTAGGAGTTGTGGTGAGTTTTTTGGGGTCTTGTAAATATAGAATTATGTTATTAGCTAATACGAATAGTTTGAGCTCTTCTTTTCCTAGTCATATTTCTTGTGTCTGTCTAATTGCTCTGGGTAGAGTTTCAAGGACTGTGTTGAATAGGAGTGGTTAAAGAGGGAATCCTTGTCTTGTTATAGTTTTTCGAGGGGATGCTTTCAGTTTTTCTACTGATGTGGTGAATTACGTTTATTGATTTCCATATGTTTAACCAACCTTGTGTTCCTGGAATGAACCTTCCTTGATAATGGTGAATTATCTTTTAAATATTTTTTTGTATGCAATTTGCCAGTGTTTTATTGAGAATTTTTGCATTAGTGTTCATCAGGGATATTGTTCTGAAGTTTTCTTTCCTTGCTGTGTGTTTGTCTGGTTTTGGTATCAGGATGATACTAGTTTCATAGAATGAGTATGGAAGGGCTCCCTCCTTTTCTGTTTCATGGAATAATTTGAGTATTGGTGTAAATTCTTCTTCAAAGGTCTGGTAGAACCTGGCTGAGAATCCGTCTGGTCCTGGACTTTTCTTTTTTGGTAGGCTTCTGATGGTATCTTCAATTTGATTACTTGAAATTGATATGTTTAAATTTTCTATGTCCACTTGATTTAATTTGCTTAAGTCATATGTCTGTGGAAATTTGTCGATGTCTTCATGATTTTCTATTTTATGTATAGATTTTCAAAGTAGCTTCTGATTATTGTCTGTATGTCAGTGGTATCTGTTTTGTGATATTTCCTTTTTCATCATGAATTTTAGTAATTTGAATATTCTCTTTTTCTTCCTTAACTTGGCTAAGTATTTATTAATTTTGTTTTATTTTTTCAAAAACCCAACTTCTTGTTTCATCGATTTTTTTGAAATTTTTTGTTTCAATTTCATTAATATTGTCTCTCATTTTAGTTATGTCCTGTCTTCTGGTTTTAGTGTTGATTTGTTCTTCTTTTTTCTAGGGCTTTGAGGTATAAAGTTAGGTTATTTGGTGATTTTTCTATTCTTTTAATGAATGAGTTCAATACAATGAACTTTCCTTTTAGAACTGCCTTCTAGTATCCCAGAGATTTTTATACATTGTGTCACTGTTCTTATTTACCTCTAAGTATTTTTTATTTCATCCCTGATTTCGTCACTATCCTTTGATCATTCAATACTGTATTTTGTAGTCTCCAGGTGTTAGAGTAGCTTCTGTTTTTAATTGTATTATTAATATCTAATTTTATTCTATTATCTAATAAAATGCAAGATATCTCTGGTTTTTTTTTTTTTTTTTTTTGTATTTGCTAAGAATTGCTTTTTGTGGCCTAAGATATGGTCTATTTAGAAAATGATCCATGTGCTGCTGAGAAGAAAGTGTATTCAGTCATTGATGCATAAAAAGTTCTATATGTATTTGTTAAGTCTAAATTATTAATTATTTTTTAGTTTATAGTTTCTTTATTTAGTTTTTGGTTTGAAGATCTATTTGTTGGTGAGAGTGGCGTGTTGAAGTGACCCAGTATTATTTTGTTGTGTCTCTTTGATTCTTGAGAAACTGTTTTGTGAAACTGGATTTTAGAGGATGAATATGATGAGTGAGGAAGAGGAGAAGGACAATCCAGGAGAGGAGAAAAAATGCAAAGAAACCAAGGCTTCAGAGGACTATTGTAGAATGTGGAGGGAGATAGCAGATTTAAGCAGTCAGTGGGAGCTAAATTGCAGAGGGCCTTTATGAAGAGTTTGGAGTTTTTTTCTTCCTTCCTTTCTCCTCATCCTTCTTTTTTTTTTTTTTAAAGGAGTGGGAAATTGATATTACAGTGGCATGTTACAATCAGTTTTTATTATGTATGTGTTACTCTTGTAGCTGTGAGAATATCCTTGAGGGGCAGAGACTTTCAGCAGGGATGAAGGTTAGGAGGCTATTATAGTAGCTCCTGTGAGCAAAAATGAGATGTGAAGGTAATGTAGTTATATAAATAATTTTGTTGCTGAAAAACATTCATTGTACATTTTAAATATTTATAAGTTTTAATTGAATCTTTTGCAAATAGACAAAGAGTTTATCAAATATGATGATAGAAATCATGTCTGTCTTATTCACTAGTTGTGTCAAGCAGGGAGTACAATGTTTCAACTGGTGCTCAGTAGTTAAATGTTAAGTGAATGAATTTGTGAATTTTAGGTCTACTAATAATTGCAAACATGAGTCTAAACTAGAGCTTTGTAAGTTTGCCTCGAAATAAGTAATGAGTGACTTTTTGGGTATGTAAATAGTTGACAGCTCGATCCACTGAAAAAGGTAAATAATTATACAGAACTCTTTAGAATTGAAAGAATAGAAGGCTGAATTTGGATCTTGGGGCAATATAAATATTAGGGATAAGCAAAAGCCTGAAAAGCAGTAGTGGTTTGTGGCTTGATGCATAGGGTCATGTAGTTGCAAGGAGGAAAGGCCTCAAGGATATTGGGGAAGTTCATGTTGGAATAATGACTGCCAAGTTTTGGATTTGGAGATTAGAGCTTTGTTGTTGTTCCCAAATAAACTAGTTAGTATGATGATCTTTTCAGATAGAAAAATATGTGAGAAATATGATGGTGAAGGCAAGGAGAAGAACATGAAGTAGCTTGGGTGTAGAGAAGGTATGATGGTTATTACTTTAGGATATGGTAGAGTTGGGCATGTGGCAAGGAGGGTACATGATGGAATCATCCCCCAAAGCAGTTGGGGAGGAAAGGTTTCAATAGAATGGTGAGTAGCTTTTCTTTATATGGTAATATGCATAATGTTCTAGATAAATTTAAGGGAAGTTTGGGGATTTTTGTTTTCTAATTAAAATTTGCTTATTTTAAAAAATTTTATCAGTAGGGACCCTTGAAAATAGTAATGAATCTATGTTCTTTCTCAAAGGGATTTTTGAGATTATTTAAAAAAATATTTATTTATTTTTTTAGTTGTAGTTGGACACAATTCCTTTATTTTATTATTTATTTTTATGTGTGCTGAGGATTGAACTCAGGGCCTCACATGTGCTAGGCAAGCACTCTACCACTGAACCACAACCCCAGCCCATATTATTTTATATTATGATGTTTTTAAACCAGGGATTGAACCCAGGGGTGCTTATCCACCAGGCCATATCCACAGACATTTTTTATTTTTTTATTTTTGAGACAGGGTATTGGTAAGCCAGACAGGGTCTGGCTAAGTTATAGCCGTGATAAATTCCTGAGGCTAGCTTTGAACTTGAGATCCCTTTACTTTAGCCTCCCAAGCCACAGGGATTGCAGGTGTGCCCTACCACTCTCTGCCTAATTTACAATTTTTATGTGGTGATTCTGAAGAAGGAGGAAAATGGGATAAACTGAGAATAGACAAGGGATAAGTTAGAAGAAAGCCAGTTCATTTGCGGGGAAGAAGGAGGGGAAGAATATAGAACAAAGGTACAGTCAGCCAGTTCTCAGCATTTGATGTTAAATTTGAAGTATCTTAACTGATTTTATTGATATTCCAAGTAATTATCTTTGTATATTTAATATAATTTGAATTTATTTCTGGGGATAATCTTATTTGAACTAAACGAAAAATAATTTAATAACCAACATATTTACTGATTCTTCCATTACTAATAATGCATATAAAGCAACATATCTTTTATTTCTACAGATAGTTTCTATGTTACATGGGGAGCCCAACATAATTTAGGATCAACGGCAGCCCTAAGGCAACCATTACCTCCACATGGAAAACCACTTGGAAAACTAAACTCTTCAGATCTCAAGGATGTTATTAAAAAGGTATAATATGAATCATTAATTCGAATTAAGATTTGTTATGATTACTGTTATTTATGGGAAACGTTTGGAGATCATGGGAATATTAAATCATAGACAAAACTATTCTGCTCTTTTTGAATTTAACATAACTAGAAGCAGATGTGCTTTATACAGATCCTTGTAAAATTGCTAAGATATATTTGCAAGAAGGTATTTATTAGAAATATTAATGAAGCTTAACATTAATTGAGAAATCATCATATATCAGTGATTGTTAAACTTTGGTGTGTATCAGAATCACCTGAAGGTGTAAAAAAATTGCAGATTCCTGGGTTCCATCTCGAGAGAGTCAAACATAGTAGGTGAGACCCAGAGAATCGAATTTTTATCAGGCTTACAGATGATAGTTATGCTCATGGTCCATTGAAACTTGGAGTAACACTGTGTACAGGTTTTTTTTTTTTCTTTCTCTCTCTATATCTCTTGCTTGCTATGTTTCTGTTTAGTTATAATAAAGAAGAAACAGTGTTGCATATTGAGAGTTAGTATGGATTTGATGTCAGGAAAAGTTTTTTGTCATGGTGTGTTTGGTGGACTGATTGATATGCCTGGAATTGATATTGCAATATTTGGGAATATTAAAAGTTGTTAAGTATATTGTGAACATACTCTAATTGTCTTTTCTTTCTTTTTACATTCTTTTGCTTAATCTGTAGCAGGACATGGTACTTACACGGGCTTTTGAGTCATTCCCAAGTAGTACAAAAGAACAAGAGTTCATAAAAGCATTTCTAAGCACGAGGTTTCTAGAGTTCTGAGACTGTTTCATAGTCCATGTTCATTGATTTATTACAACTGATAAATTTTGAGAGTTTTAATTAACCAACTATCTCACATACTTTTTACTAATGTATTAATGCCTAAGGGTGATTCTTGTGAACCCTTGAACTTCTTTGACATCTTACGAGTTTTTTTTTAGTGCCTGTAAAGATGTATTACTAGATAGGTAAAATATTAGTGTGTAACTACTTTATTCTTCTTGAATGTATCAAAATAATATTTTAATCTAGATAAGTAATATTTTTGTTGTGTAGTTAGTATTTTATTAATTAGAAAATATTCTTTTTGTTTTTTTGAAAGGGTCTTATTCATTATGGACGAGATAACCAGAATTTAGATATTTTACTTTTCCAAGAAGTCCTGGAGTACATGTCTAGAATAGATAGAGTACTGAGTTTTCCTGGAGGTTCACTTCTACTAGCAGGACGCAGTGGTGTGGGGCGTAGGACCATCACTTCTTTAGTCAGTCATATGCATGGAGCAGTGCTATTTTCTCCAAAGATTTCCAGAGGATATGAATTGAAGCAGTTCACAAATGATCTCAAACATGTAAGTTGCTCATGATCCTTTGCTTTATTAGGTTTTTATTCATATTATTTTTCTAAATGATTTCTAACATCTTTATGACTCTAATATATAACAGTATTTATTTTTAATTTTGATGATTTTTTTCCATAAATATTAGAAAAATAACATTCTTATTTATACAGATTTTAAGAGACTTTTTTTTGAGATTTATAGGTTCTAGGTACTTCAGATTATGGGATATTAGATGGATATGAATAACAACCAAAATGATGAGATTTATAGAGGAAATATGTGGGTACATATAAAATAATCTTAGTTTTTGGTTTAATATTCCAGTTCTAAAATAATTAAGTTTTCTTTCAGCTCACATTTATTTGTGGGTACATTTTACTATTCAAGCTATATGGCTAAAGTTTGATTTAATTTTGAGTATGCAAATATAAATGCATAATAGTGACAACTTTACATAGAATGATAATTTTTAACTGTGTCAAAATACATAAAGAGTACTAATTTTTTTTTTTTTTTTTTTTTGGGCAGGTGCTGAATCTTGCAGGAATTGAAGCACAACAGGTAGTTTTACTTCTTGAGGATTATCAGTTTGTACATCCTACATTTTTGGAGATGATCAATAGCCTTTTGTCTTCAGGTAAGTGAATAGTTTCTATTCAAAGAAAATAAATAGTAATGTAAAAATTATTCAAGTACAATTGTCTTATATAAAATTTACTTGTGTTTCAGAGAACTTTATGTAGGATTAAATGTGTTTGTGGCAACAGAATGGAGAAATGCCACTTTTGTAAAACCAATAACTTAGGAATTATATAAAAGTTTTTATTAATATTGAATATTAATGAATTACAGAAAAATTGCCCCCCCCCTTGTTCTTTCAATGGGGCATTATTTGTCTTAACCTTTAGGAAAATTATCTACTAGTCCTTATTTAAAAATGGCTATACCTTTGATACAGCATTCTGTTATCAGTAGGGATTTAACCCATAGAAATAGAACGACTAGTATGTAAAGAAATATGTATTATAATTTGTAATCACAAAAAATTTGATAGAACTTTCATCGGTAGTGGAATGGTTGAATAATTATGGTGTGACCTTAGTATATACATATAAATATAGACTTATTCCAGATATATGAAATACCACAGAATTCTGTGTTAGTATGTACATTTCATATGTGTCTGGACTATATCAGTATTCACTAATCTGAAACAATGCACGTTGTTTCTTTAGTTGATTAAAATATATCAGCTACTACTTATTACTTGTAAGTAATCTCACATTTTTAAAGAAGAGATTAAAATTATTTTTAAGAAAAAAGGGAGTATGAATTTACACTATGCATTTATATAATAGAGAAATATTATTTAAGGGTACTCTATTAAGTAAATACTTCCGAGAAATGTAGAACTAAATAGGATTTCTATATTTACAGAATTTTATAAGTTGTAGGAATATTTACTGTATTTTTTAAGATTTTTGTTTGAAAATCATATTTTCTATTTTGTATTTTTGACTTAAAATAATTTTCTCTTGATATAATACAAAGCTGTAGATCCATTTTATTCCCCAATATTTTGTATCCTTAATTGTATAGTAGAATCACCTAGGAAAAAAAAAAAGAAGAAAATAAATAAATAAAGAAAACCTAATTCTTTGCTACCATCCTAAAACCATAAAAAAAAAAAGACCCTCTGGGGAGGGATAGCATTTGTTCATTAAGGCCTCCTAGTTGATGCTCTACAACCTGATTTTTGAGTAGCCCTTCTGCCATGGTTTCATGCCTCCAGAGTCACTGAGATTATAAGAATGGGCCTCCGTACCAGGCTTGTCTTTGGATTTTTAAGGAACACATTCCAACAGTATGGTATTGGTACCAAAACAGACATGAAGATAATGGAATAGAAGACAGAGAGAAAACCCTACAGAAATCCAGTTATCTCATACTAGACAAAGGCACCATAAATATACACTGGAGAAAAGATAACCTTTTCAACAAATGGTGCTGGGAAAACTGGAAGTCCACATGTAGCATAATGAAATTTAACTTTTATCTTTCACCTTGCATAAAACTGAACTCAAAATGGATCAAGGATGTGGGCATTGGACCCTGTACCTACTAGAAGAAAATGTTAGCCTACCTTCTCATCATGTTGACTTCAGAACCAACTTTCTCAATAAGACTCCTGAAGCACAAGAAGTAAAATCAAGAATAATAAATGGGATGAATTCAAACTAAAAAGCTTCTTCACAGCAAAGGAAATAGTTAAGAACAACTCCTTGGTCTATACCCAAAGGATTTAAAATCAGCATATTACAGTGAGGCAGCCACATCAAAACAACAAAAAACCCCACATTCCTGCCTATTGTTTAACATCACTAGGTGGAGACCTTGTTCAGTTCATTTTGCTGATATAAATTGATAGCCCAGATACACAGTTTGTGAATGTGTATGTGTGTGTATGTGATAGAGAGAGGGAGAGTAAAGAGGAGAAGGAATAAACATTCAGATAAGCATTATTCCAATTATTACTGTTTTAAGATAAATTGTTCTAATTATTATTTTTTTGTTTGTGGGGGATTGAACCCAGGGACACTTAACTATTGAGTCACATCCCAAGCCCTGTTTATTATTTTTTTTTAATTTAATTTTTTTTAAGAGAGAGAGAGAGAGAGAGAGAGAGAGAGAGAGAGAGAGAATTTTTTTTTAATATTTATTTTTTAGTTTTCGGTGGACACAACATCTTTGTTTGTATGTGGTGCTGAGGATGGAACCCAGGTCGCACACATGCCAGGCGAGCGTGCTACCGCTTGAGCCACATCCCCAGCCCCAAGCCCTGTTTATTTTTTAATTTGAGACAGGACACTCCTGCGTTGCTCAGGCCCTTGCTAAGTTTCTCAGGCAGACTTTAAATTTGTGATCCTCTTGCCTCAGCCTCCCGAGCTGCTGGTATCATTACAGGTATGCACCATCTCACCTGGCTGATAAGTTGATCTTTATTATCAAGATATAACTGCAAGGGTCTGGGGTTGTGGCTCAGTGGTAGAGCACTTGCTTTGCATATGTGAGGCACTGGTTTCAATTCTCAGCACTGTGTATCAATAAATGAAATAAAATAAAAGTCTGTCAATAACTAAAAAAATTAAAAACAAAAAAGATGTAACTGCAAAAACAACAATTAAATTTTGGTAGTTTCTTTTCAGAGAAAGTATTCAATAAATCCATCTCTCTTTTCTTCTATTTCAATTTTTTGTTCCCTAAAGTGTATAGTATGCTAAATTTAACACATCAAAGTATTCTGTCACCAGGCAGTGTGGTTTTTTTTTTTGTTTTGATGTGGCTGCCTCACTGTAGTGGTGCACGCCTGTAATCCCAGTGGCTCTGGAGGCAGTGGAGGAGGATCGAGAGTTAAAAGCCAGCCTCATCATGTGAGGTGCTATGCAACTCAGTGAGACCCTGTATCTAAATAAAATATAGCTGGGGATGTGGGTGAATGGTCGAGTGCCTCTGAGTTCAATCCCTGGTATCCCCCCCCAAAAAAAAAATATTCTGCCATAACTGAAGTTTAAAGAATGTCATATAAAACAGACTTATGTGTGCATGTGTGTGAGTATATATGTTTTGTGGGTAGGGGTAGGTCTGGTACCTTTTAGTTGAATTCAAAGAAATGTAGGAATTGGATTGTTATGGGCCCTACATGAATGTAAGGTTTTGGATGTATAGAAAGGAATTTTCACTTAATCTTAGTTTCTTTTGAGTTATTGGCTTAACAGATATTTATTAAGAATGGTCTGGGCCTGCCTATAGTGTTAGCCAACTTTGATTTGCCTTTCATCATTCTATTGCCTAGTAGAAGGCCATGGAATGGGTCCCTTGATGTTTAGTCTAAGTTCATTAATTCATTTAGTAACAAATATTTAAGTTCCTGATATACATTAAGAATTCCCTAGGATTTAATATGGAATGTTTTAAAATATTTGTCCTTTGAGAATCAGAGTAATTAAGGTGGTGAGGAAAGTAATTCATTTTCAAATGATGTGATAAATGCTAAACAGTGGTGTGTTTGGATAGCACATGAGAGAGATAAGAGGGTTTTACTTAGTATTTGGGTAAATAGAAAAGGCTTATGGACATAGCAGTTGATGAAGTGGAGTCTTGAAGCATAAACAATCATTTAGGGATGGATAAAGGGCACAGGACTAGTTATACATTCTAGAAAGGGAAATATTTTGTTGTATTTACAAGCACATTAGAAAACAAGTTCTTATGAGTGAGAAGGAGAAAAAAACCTGAAAAGGCAAATAGATGGGTATATTATGAGATCTATCCCTTGCTTGCCTTCTCTCTCTCTCTCTGTTTGTGGTGCTGGGGGCCAATCCAGGGCCTGGCACATGCTTGGCAAGTTCTCTCCCACTGAACTCAATCCTCAGCCCAGGAACTCTCTTGAATGTCTTTATTAGGAGTTAGAATTCGATCAAATGAAGGTTATAGATGTGGGTATGGAGTCATGTAGATGTGATAGGTTTTATATATTTTTGAAGGGAAGGATCCAATAAAGACTGATTATTTAATACAAAAATTGAAAAGCACTGTATATGTAAAATGTGTTTTGAATTAGTGTGTTGCAACCAAAGTGAAAAAAGACATTTAATATTTTTCTGTAGGTGAAGTTCCTGGACTCTATACTCTTGAAGAATTAGAGCCCTTGCTGTTGCCTCTTAAGGATCAAGCTTCACAGGATGGTTTTTTTGGACCAATCTTCAATTACTTCACATATAGTAAGTGACATAGAATTCAGTAATCAACTTAAATTCTGTTTCATATGAAATAAATACCATTTAATTTACACCTTTTTCTTTTTTTCTGGAACTTTTAGAAAGTAGCATATAAATAGTATATAAGCTAGCCCATGATGAAATCACCTTAGATTAATTTTAGCAAAGGGGAATGATGAAAATTTTAGCAAAGAAAAAAATATTTCTTTGGAATATTTTCCTACTTTGTTTTCATGTGGTGAAATTATTATTACTTTAGTATTCCTAATCTTAGAAAGCAGTTGAATATTTAGATTGTGCCAGACTTTATAATTTGTTAAATTTTAATTTTTTCTTTGTTCTTTTTAGATATACATGATAATAGAGTGTATTTTGACATATTGTGTATACATGGAGTATAACTTATTCTAATTAGGATCATATTCTGTGGTTGTACATGATATTGAGTTAGCCTGGTCATATATTCATATACAAGGATAGGAAAGTTATGTTTGGTTAATTCTACTGTCTTTCCTATTCCTTTCATCTCTCCCCCTTTCATTCCTCTTTCTATAATCCAATGGACTTCTATTCTTCCTCTTCCCACCTTCCCTTGTTATGGGTTAGTATCTTTTTATTAATATAGAAGCAGTTTTATGTGTACTACAGAAATCTAAAATTGAAATAAATAAAAAATGAGGGAATAATCACACCATCCAGACATTACTATACCTCTATCCTTTAAGGATATCTTCCTGAATCAATCAATATTTATTCCTTCCTTTCTTTCCTTCCTTCCCTCCCTCCCTTCCTTCCTTTCCTCCTTCCTTCCTTCCCTCCCTCCCTCCCTTCCTTCCTTCCTTCCTTTCCTCCTTCCCTCCCTCCCTCCCTCCCTTCCTTCCTTCCTTCCTTCCTTTCTTATTTTGGCAGTGCTGGGGATTGAACCCAGGACCTCATATGTTATGTAGTCACTCTGCCACTGAACTACATCCCCAGCCCTCTGCATCTTTTGCCTTAGCATGCACACAGAAATACACACAAAGAATTTTTTGACCAAATTTTGTATCATGGTATTATTTCATAACTATTTGTTTTTTAAGAAAAACAGCTCCTAGCCAGGTGAGGTGGTGCATGCCTATAATCCCAGTGGCTCAGGAGGCTGAGGCAGGAGGATCATGAGTTTAAAACCAGCCTGAGCAAAGGAAGTGCTAAGCAACTCAGTGGGACCCTATCTCTAAATAAAATACAAAAATATTTTGTATTTTTTGTCAAGTTCCCCTGAATTCAATCCCGGACCCTCCCCACCTCAAAAAAAAAAAAAAAATAAATAAAATAAAAAAGAAAAAAGAAAAAGAAAGAAAAACAGCTCCAAAAATAGTATGTTAGAAAATTTGAATATCATGAAACTAGATCACATGTAGAATTCCTGATTCTATTATTATTCTTGTAATTGACAATAATTATAATTTTTTAATATATCTTTCAGGAATTCAACAAAATTTGCATATTGTATTGATAATGGATTCTGCAAATTTAAACTTTATAATAAATTGTGAAAGTAATCCAGCTTTGCATAAGAAATGCCAGGTGTTGTGGATGGAGGGCTGGTCAGATAGCAGTATGAAGAAAGTAAGTTTAACATTTAAACATGAAAATGAAAAAAACTCATATTATGTTTTGAAGTTATTGATTTTACTACTTGTCTTTGGTTTTTGTTTTAACATTATCTTAATTATGGCACTGAACATTTTTCTTATGTTTGAAGATATCTCTGTTTTCTTTTTCTTTTTATATTATAGTTTAGCTGAGAATATAATTTTAGGCTGAGAATTGTATATTCAATTAAGAACCATAAGGATAATTATACTTTAATTTTTTAGCCTATTGTAGGCTAGCCTAGAATTTTAAAAAAATCAAGAATTTTACCAATTAAAAATATAATCCTTTTTTTTAAAAAAAAAAAAAAAAAGAAAGAAACGTGTCATGCTGTGCTATACATTTGGAGGGGGAAGAATTTAAAGTGTGAACTCATAGCACTTTCTTTGCTAGAAGACTCTTAATTTGCTTCATTTAAATAAATAATAATTTTTAGCATTGTTCTTTGACTATTTCCAATTATTCATTTCTTTATTTATTATAGTAGATATATAGATTCTAATAGAAATTATATAGACTATAATAGAATACAGACAGAAATACCAGTTGTGATTCAGCAAAGATTGTAATATGAAAAAATAGACAAAGTTTTATAGGTGAGATGGTATTTTTGCTATATTTCCATAAGTACATAAGGAGAGGAAAGGTATTTTAATCTGAGGATACCACATGAGTAGAGGCATTCATTCATTAAGAAGAAGTAATGTAGGGCTGGGATTGTGGCTCAGTGGTAGAGCACTCGCCTAGCACAAGTAGGACCTGGGTTTGATTCTCAGCACCATATACAAATAAAGTCATTGTGTTGTGTCCATCTACACCTAAAAAATAAATGTTTAAAAAAAACAATAAAAATTTATTTACAAAAAAAAGAAGAAATGTTCTGTACACTGAAGATACAGCAGAGGGGAGGATACAAAGATCCCTGCCCTTATGGATTTTTTACCTTCTTGCCACAGAAAACTGTGGAAAGCTTTCTGTGATGAGAGTATTCCTGATGATTTTTAGGATCAGCAAGAAGTCTTTACCTAGAGAGTAGTGATGGAGGGGGAAGGTAATGGGAGATGATGACAGAGAAGTAAGAGGAGACCAGTTAGGTTAAGGTTTTGTAAGTCATAAGGATTTTTAGGATTTCCTGAAAATTTACTATTAGAAGTTTCTGAGAAAAAAATGTTTTGAGTCATGTTTTAATAGAATTACTCTGATTTCTGGGTTGAAAGTAGATTGTAGGAAGGAAAGGAAGCAATTACACACAATTATTATAGTAATCTAGATGAAAGAAAATGGTGGCTTGAGCTATGGGTCTAGTGGGGAGGTATAAGAAGTAGTTGGGATTTTGGATATGTTTTGTGGTAGAAACAATAGGATTTTCTCATAGATTCTAATAAGGTATAAGAAAAATTGAGGAGTCAGGAGTAAAATATTCTCATAGAGGCTTAACTGGTCAGAAATCAGTGAAGATGGTTGAAAAAAACACATAACTCTAGCTTAAGAAAAATAGCACCTTTTAATCTCTGTGTTAAATAGAGGATCTTTTGATTATGTTTTATTCAGTTTAAAAAAATTTAAAAAATGACATTTTTTTTTTTGCTTAATTACCTGGGTTACTTATGTTTCTTTTGCTATCAATGTCCGCCATACCTGTGAAAGAAATTCAAGCTATTTTTCCTGATATTTCAGAGCCTTTATATTTTTCGCCAGAAAACTATTTTCGTTTATATAGTATAGTCTAAAGTGATATTCTTACTAGGTTATCATATTTTCTTTAATAATAGGGTATTTGTTTATAAAACTTCATTTGCTTAATTGTGATGTTGGCAAAAAACTCAGCCATAGCTAGAAAAAATTTTTAGAATTGTCATTTATGAAATTATTAGTTATTAAACATGAAATTATTTTCATTCACTTTGAGTTATTTCTTATTTATGAATGCTAAGAATCTTCTGTACCCTGTTGTGCTATGACAGCATTTTATTTCTTTGATGCCAAATAAAGTATTTTTATTACTTTTATAATCATAAATGGTATTTTTAAATTCTATCCAAATTTTAATACCTTTTATTTTATATTGCCTAATAATTTTTAAGTGATATGTTGGAGCTTTTCCCTGTGTGCCATTAGTTTGCAACCATTTAATGGTTGATACGTGTTATAATGTCTAGAAAATAATGACTTCTCTTTGTCTATAAGAAAAAAAAAATGCAGTTGATGCTGTCTTTTTGTGTTAAGGTTATTTAACCTTTGATTTTGGACCTACTTAAACTTTTTCATACTGATTTGAGTGCTGGGGATTGCACCCAGGGCCTCTCACATCTAGGCATGCACTCTATCATGAGCCACATCCTGAGCCCTGACTTTTGAGTTTTGAAAAATTGTTGTATGTGTTTTAGATACCTGAAATGTTATTCAGTGAAACAGATGGTGAAGAGAAATATAGTGACAAAAAAGGAAAAGAAGAAAAGAAAAAAAATTCAGGTAGTATTTTTATGAAACCAATTTTATCTGATTTTTATTTATGAAATGCTATTTTTTCTGTTCCATACCCATTCTTTTTTGACTGAGTAGTCTGAAGGTCCCAATTATATTTTTAGAGTTCCTGACTAGTAATCTAAACTTTTGATACTAGCTTATCATTTAGAAATGTCATAGAACTCAATTTAAACTCAGAAAATTTTTTTTTCTTTTGAGTATGGATACAATATTTTATTAACTATAATATTGAAAAGGTTTAGAGAAGTAATATAGGCATTTTTGTGGAACTATGAATAGCCTAAAGGATTGAAACATAGGATGTGTAAATAGTAGAGCACTAGATGAAGAGTAAAATATTGGCAGGATCAGGTAATGAAGAGCCTTCCATATTATGCCAATTTTGTATTATAATTTATGGGTGATATTGAGAGATTTTAATAGGGATATAACCAGAGTCTTGTTTTAGAAACAGGAATCTCTGGGTCCATCCCTTTCTTCAGTTATTAGAAAATAGATTGGTATAGGAGAAAACTGAAGGCAATGAGACAACTTTAGAAGTCCATTGCAATAATCTAAGAGAGACATAATAAAAATTCCGAACAAAGGCAGAGGTAAGAATGGAGGGAAAGAATGGATTTGGGGATATTAGGTGGTTATCTATATTGGACTTGATTGTTAATGATTGTGACATACAAGGAAGAATTAAAGAAGTCAGGGATGTCTGACAAGATTCTGGCTTGGAGAATTCATTGAAAGTTGATTTTTATTAACTCCAGTAGAGAATACAGAGGGAAATTAAGTCAGTGAAAGAGAAGTAATGTGTTTGATCCTGAATGTATTGAATCTAATGTAAACTTATTCTCAACTTTTTGGCTTTTGAAATCTTGTTTCCCTCTGTATCAAATGGGAGTGAATAGATATTTGGTTTGGTGTCTTGATTCTACTCAAGAAATTGTATTTAGCTCCTTTTTCAGTTACATGTGTTATATAGTTCCAATTCTTTTATGTTAAAAGACCATGCAGATTTCTTTTTCTTGCAGCACTAAAAATGTTGAGGGAAAATTTATAACAGCAGAAGATAAAGACCACTTAAAGTAGATAATTCTTAAGGAAGATTGGCACTGGGAATAGATATCTTGGAATGCCTGTGCAAAGATTATATTGCATAATTATAATTTTAAAGTGGAATTATCTAATACAAAATAAATATTATTTTTGTAATTTTTAATGAATCAAACATATAAGTAATTATATTTTCTATCTTTTTTTAGTTGATCCTGACTTTCTAAAGTCATTTTTACTAATCCATGAGTCCTGTAAAGCATATGGAGCTACACCAAGTCGATATATGACCTTTTTACGTGTATATTCTGCCATTAGTAGCAGCAAGAAAAAGGAATTATTAAAAAGACAAAGTCATTTGCAGGTACAAAATTGGTTATATCCAATGCTTTTATCTTTATCGTTATTTGATTTTGATTTTAAATTATTTTATCATTTTTAGGAAGTCAAGTATTACACAAGTTACAATACCATGTTCCCTGTGGCAAATATTTAGTATAAATAAATAATGTACTGTTTTAAAAGCTTTGAAAAAAGAATTCCATCTCCCTGCCTATATTGCCCAGTAGATTATAATATAATTGTTTGAATTTTTTATTATTATGTATTTTTATTATTTCTTACTTTACTGGATAGTATTTATGTACTTTTGACGGTTTTGATATTGTTGTCGTTAAGTCTTTTTCTATGAAATATTTTTAGACATTGAGTAATTCCTTTTCAAAGGTTATTATATATAGCATAATCTTGGAAATTATGAAATTAAAATTATATTTTTGAAGAAAATTGAAAATTACATTTGAGATTGAAATTACATTTTATAAAGGAATGTTCTTATCCATGTCATTTCTCTTATTACATTCTGAACAGTTTCTTTCTATATTTCTTTAAGTTTTAAATTAAATGAATGCCAGCCTCTGCAACTGTCAGAGAGCATCTTCTCTCCCAAGTTTTAGCTTCTCTCTATTAGTATAATAAACTAGGATCCATATAAATTAAAATAATTATCTTTGTCCTTTTTTTTAATGATTCACTTTCATTTATGGTAGGCCACTAAAGTATACATGATTTTGGGAGGGTTAATGTCTCGATTTAGTTCTTGACATTGTTTTTGGTAAATTATTTAAACTTGTTGAATTGCTGTTTAATTAGGTCATAGACAGTTGTATGTGTGCATATTAGTTAAATTAATATGAGAATAACCTAGCAGGATACCTGTCTTTTTTGTTAAGTCATCAGTAAATATTGGTTAAATTTTTTTTCCATGACTTTCTCTCCAAATCTTTTGATTTATTAGATGATAAAAACCTAACTCATATTATAGGAGAAAAGGATATTTTTCCTGTCCTTCCTTGGATTAATGGGCAATGGAGAGATACTATAATGGCTAGGTCTGGGTCAAATGACTACCCAAAGTACAGGTGAATTATAGTCTCCTAGAGCCATATGTGAGGCAAACAGAAACAAGTCAGTTCCACTACAAAAAAGAGTAACCTTTGAGTTCTTTTGCCCAGTGAGACTAAAAATTGGAAAAGGTTTTCTGAATTTTCCCTTGCTTTCTAGTTTTTTTCCCATCTAATACATTGAATGACCAGTGTTTAATCAGTTGTTTAAGCTGTCTAATATATGTTGATATGTTTAACTGTTTTTCCTTAAAACTTGGTGGAGGTTTTTTTTTTTTTTTTTTTTTTTTTACTACAAGTTAATAAGTATGATGTTTAATAAATCATTAAAATTAGCAAAAAGAAAAAATCTAAGGCCATTTGTACTGTTTCTCATGTATCACTTACATGCTTGCTTGATTCTTTCTTTATAAGGATTTATTTGCTGTGTGTATAAACTTTTGTTTTTAATATTGCCATCAATATTTTATTAATGTAGGCGGGTGTATCTAAACTAAATGAGGCCAAAGCTCTTGTGGATGAACTGAACAGAAGAGCTGGTGAACAAAGCATATTACTTAAAACTAAGCAAGATGAAGCAGATGCTGCCCTTCAAGAGATCACAGTGTCAATGCAGGTAATGTTTGAGTGCAGAAGTGCAAAATATGGAGTTAGACTGATTGTATTGTATACTTGATCTTCTACAGAAGAGCATACTATTTTTCTTTATTGTTTAGAATCATACCCTTGTCTTCTCATTTATGTTTATTTATCTAAACTCTTTTTTATTTTAAATTGGTATGGAGTTGTCTGTAATTGATTTTTCTTTTTTTTAATGTTCTGACAGCTAAGTTGATCTCTTTTTATTTTCTTAAAATTCTCTCCTTTAGAATTTGAAAGTTTTCCATACTCTCAAAATTTATAAAATGTCTTTATTGTGTGATATTTTATATTTTAATCATATCTTTCTTTTAGCCATCATTTTCTTTTGTCAAATACTTTCAAAGGAGATTTTTCAGTTTTTTCCCCAGGTATTCTTGTTTTTCCATATTTTTTTATTATTTGGTTTCTTTTCAATCATTTTTTATTTGTTCTAATTAGTTATATATGACATTAGAATGCACTATGATACATCACACATAAATGAAATATAATTTCTCATTCTTCTGGTTGTACATGATGTAGAATCCTATCAGTTGTATAGTCATTTATGTACATAGGGTAATAATGTCTAATTCATTCTATTATTCCTCCTACTCCTATATCCCCTTCCCTCCCTTTACTCTTCTCTGTCTAATCCAAAGTACCTCTATTCTTCCCTAGCACCCCCCCACCTATTGTGAGTTAGCATCTGCATATCAGAAAAAACATTTGGCCTTTAGTTTATTGGGATTGGCTTATTTTGCTTAGCATGATATTTTCCAACTCCATTAATTTACCAGCAAATGCCATAATTTCATTCTTCTTTAAGGCTGAGTAATATTCCATTATGTGTATACACTACAATTTTTTTTATCCATTCATCTGTTGAAGGATACCTAGGTTGGTTCCAAAGTTTAACTGTTGTGAGTTGAGCTGCTATAAATATTAATGTGGCTGTGTCACTGTAATATGCTGATTTTAAATTCTTTGGGTATATCTGAGGAGTGGAATAGCTGGGTCAAATGGTGATTCCATTCCAAGTTTTCTGAGGAATCTTCATTACTACTTTCCATAATGGTTGTACCAATTTGCCATCCCATCAGCAATGTATGAGTGCACATTTTTCCACACATCCTTGCCAATATTTATTGTTGTTTGTATTTTTGATAATTGCATTCTGACTGGAGTGAGTTGAAATCTTAGTGTAATTTTGATTTGCATTTCTCTAATTGCTTGAGATATTGAACATTTTTTCATGTATTTGTTGATGGATTGTATTTTTTCTTATGTAAAGTGTCTGTTCAGTTCCTTAGCCCATTTATTGATTGGGTTATTTGTGTTTTTGGTGTTGCGTTTTTTGAATTCTTTGTATATCCAGGAGATTAATACTCTACCTGAGGTGATGTGGTAAAGATTTTCTCCACTCTGTAGGCTCACTCTTTTTGTTCTAGATTTTTTACTTTGCTGAGAAAAAAGCTTTTTAGTTTGATTCTCTCCCATTTATTGATTCTATATTTTACTTCCTTTGCTTTAGGAGCCTTTTTAAGTAAGTCAGATCCTAGGCTGATATAGTGAAGATTTGGGCCTACTTTTTCTTCTATTAGGTGCAGGATCTCTGTTCTAGTGCCTAAGTCTTTGATCCACTTTGAGTTGAGTATTCTTTTTTTTAAATTAATTTTTTAAAATTTATATGTAATAGCAAAATGCATTACAATTCTTATTACACATATAGAGCACATTTTTTCATATCTCTGGTTGTATACAAAGTATATTCACACCAATTCATGTCTTCATACATGTACTTTGGATAATAATGACCATCACATTTCACCATCATTTCTAACCCCATACCCTCTCCCTTCCGCTCCCACCCCTCTGCCCTATCTAGAGTTTATCTATTTCTCCCATGCTCCCTCTCCCTACCCCACTATGAATTAGCCTCCTTATATCAGAGAAAACATTTGGCATTTGGCTTTTTGGGATTGGCTAAATTCACTTAGCATTATCTTCTCTAATCCCGTATTTACCTGCAAATGCCATGATTTTATTCTCTTTTATTGCTGAGTAATATTCCATTGTGTATATACCACATTTTGTTTTTTCATCTATTCACCTATTGAAGGGTATTATGTTGGTTCCACAGTTTATCTATTGTGAATTGTGCTGCCATAAACATTGATGTGGCTGTGTCCCTGTAATATGCTGTTTTTAAGTCCTTTGGGTATAGACCGAGGAGAGGGACAGCTGGGTCAAATGGTGGTTCCATTCCCAATTTTTCCAAGAAATCTCCATACTGTTTTCCATATTGGCTGTACCAATTTGAAGTCCCACCAGCAGTGTATGAGTATAACTTTTCCCACATATCCTCACCAATACTTATTGTTATTTGTCTTCATAATAGCTGCCATTCTGACTGGAGTGAGATGGTATCTTAGAGTAGTTTTGATTTGCATTTCTCATGAAATTATCTGGAAAAATAAGAAACCAAGAATAACTAAAGCAATTTTTAGCAGGAAGACTAAATCAGGTGGCATCACTATACCACACCTTAAAGTATACTACAGAGCAATAGTAACAAAAACAGCATGATATTGGCACCAAAACAGATGGGTAGACAAATGGTACAGAATAGAGGACACAGAGACTAACCCACAAAACTACAATTATATTAGACAAAGATGCCAGAAACATGCATTGGAGAAAAGACAGCCTCTTCAACAAACGGTACTGGAAAAACTGAAAATCCATATGCAGTAAAATGAGATTAAACCCCTATCTCTCACCATGCACAAAACTCAGCCAAAATGGATCAAGGACTTAGGAATACAACCAGAGACCCTGTGTCTATTAGAAGAAAAAGTAGGCCCTAATCTCCATCATGTGGGATTAGGTCCCAACTTCCTTAATAAAACTCCTTTGGCGCAAGAATTAAAATCAAGAATCAATAAATAGGATGAAGTCAAACTAAAAGTTTTTTCTCAGCAAAAGAAATAATCTGTGAGGTGAACAGAGAGCCTACATCTTGGGAGCAAATCTTTACCCCTCACACATCAGATAGATCACTAATCACTATGGTATATAAAGAACTCAAAAAACTAGACACCAAAACAAAAACAAAAACAAAAAAAAACCCCAAAAAACAAAAAACCCCCAAATAACCCAATCAATAAATGGGCCAAAGACCTGAACAGACACTTCTCAGAAGATGATATAATCAATCAACAAGTATATGAGTTAAGTGTTCTTTTATGTGTACATATTCTCTCAGGATGGTTTTTCCCTTATATTGGTTTGTACTACCAACCACATATGACTATTACCAAATTCATCTTTTCATTCTTTTGGGCAAATATTTCTTAGACCAAATATTTCAGTAATATATTCAAGTATCTGTTAAACATGTCTTTTTGGAAGGCCTATGAACATTGCAAGTTGAAACAGGTTGGAAAAGTTAATTCGCAATTTTCCTTTTTTTTATTTATTTCTTTAGATTATGGCAATATAATATAGCTAATTATTTAAGACAAAACTTATACATCATATTAGACTTTTGTCATTAGTTATATGTAATGTATATCATTAATTTCTGTCTGTTTTATTTCCTTGACTTTTTCCCAAATATGCTTACTCATGTCCATTAGCCACTAGTCTAATGCCTCATATTAAAATGTAATATTTTTCACATTAATGTATGTATCTTAATGAAAAAGGATATGGCACAAAATCTTAAAAATAGCAAAGTTGGAGGACTTAAGATTTCAAAACTCAGTATAGATTTAAAGTATTATTTAAGAAAGTGTAATATTGGTTTAATGTTAGGCATAGAGGTTGATGGAATGGTATGGAAACCGGAAGTAGAGTTATTTGTACAGATTCAATTAATTTTATTCAGAAATGACAAATAAAAAGGGAATGGATAGTCTTTCTTGAAATTAGTGCGATATTTGGATATTCATATATAGAGAAAAAACTTCATATATAGAGAAAAAACTTCATATTTTTATCTTGTAACTTATACAAAAATCACTTGAAATGGATCATAGACCTCAGTCTATAGCACTAAATTATAAAAACTTAGAAGAAAACTTAGGCAAAACTCTTTATGCTTGGGTGAGGCAAGGACTTATTTGTGATGCTAAAATAGAAAAAGAGAAATTGATTTTAGATTTCCTCAAAATTAAAAAAATTCTCTTTTTAAGTAAATTCTGAAATAAAAAGGCAAACCACAGACTTGGAGAAAATATTTCCAAAACACACATATGATAAAGGATTTGTATCCAGAATACATGAAAAGTGTTACAACTTTATAATTCTAAAACAAAAATTTCATTTTAACAAAGAGCAAAAGATTTGAATGGACACTTCCACAAAAGAGGACACAAGATGGAGTAATAACATGAAAACATGCTCAACATCATTAGTCATGAAGGAATTGTAAAATAAAATACCTAGTGAGATGCCACTACACATCCACTAGAACAGATAATATTGAAAGATTGATAAAATGAAGTGATGATAAGGATGTGGAGTGTCTAGAACTCTGATAATTGCAGGAGGAAGTTCAAAACGGTGCAGCCTCTTAAAAAATTTGGCAGTTTTGTGTAATGTTTAATATAAACTTCCCATATAACCCAATAATCCCACTTTTAAGTTGGTCACCAAGAGAAATAGAAATAACATGAGGATGACTCAGAAGCATTATTCTAAGTGAATAAAGCTAGATGCAAATATTGCATACTGTGTGAGTTCTTTTGCATGGAATTATAGAAACAGGAAAATTTGTATGATAGAAAACATGTTAGTGGTTGCTATGTGGTAAATAAGTATATAAGACATATAAATGTAATTTGGATACTATAAAACTTTACCATAATTTTTTATCAAGGCATTTCAGAACCAAATTAACATTTATTAAATGCAGACAGCCATTTTTATTGTTAAAAATCTATTATTTCTTAGAAGAGTTCTTTGAAATATACAAAAATAAAAACTACAAAAAATACAACACTGTTGACAATGGTATGTTTATAAGAGAAAATTAATCACCACTTACGTTCCTTATATTATCTAGTTTATATTAATAATATATATTTGGTGCTATGCCACTCTTTGAATTGTCCTAAGAAGGAATTTTTCTAAATCTGTAGCTGATTATATCTGATTGTTTTACCTTGTAGAGACCCAGAAAAATAACTGCATCTCATGAATTAATAAATTTGCTTAATTAATTATAATTAATTATGATAACAGTTAGCTTTTTTTTGATAAAGTACTGTTCAGAGATATAGGATAAACACCAAACTGCAACTTTTAAAGGTTGCAATTCTAAGTTTGTTTTAAAAGAAGAGTACAGATTAAATGCTATAAAAACTCACAATAGGGATAACTTTCAGATGTGAAGGGTGGCCTTTTAGAAATATTCTGATGCCCAAGAGAATAACTTCCCTTTTTGAGGAATGTACAAAAGTAGAAATGTTTATGGATTTTAGAAAAGTTCCAAAATGGGCTGATGTGTAACATACACGATGGTTAGAATGGGGCAGAGGAATACTGATAGACTCAGGATTCTTAATTTGGTGGTAGATTAATAAATTTCTGTGTCCTGGTTACACTCAGATCAAGTACATCAATATATTTTTCAGTAAGACATCATGTATTAGTAGGTTTTAAGCCAGTGTTGTAAGGATTCTTGGAAGAGTTTTTGAAAAATTTTTCCTTTGGTTTTCAATTAATATAAATAAGCCCAAACATACATTTATAAAATTTAAACATTTTCATTATTGTGGGATCTAAAAGCATTGATTTTTTTTTTAAATTTAGGAACAAAGAGGTGATATGCTATTAATGCATAATTTATTGTTCTTTAAGTTTTCTACGTCTTCCCCCAGATATTTGCCATTATTATTAATATCTTGATTTCAATTAATTTATATCTAAGATAAAAGTACAGAAATAGTCTTTTGTTATACAAGTTACTCGGAAAGAATTATTCATCTCATATTAGAATTAAAGAAGACTTTTATTTAGTTTCCTCATTTATAAAATGAGCATAATACTGACCTTCCTTGATTATTTCAATGCTTATATGTATCCTACTATAATCATTTTTAACATTATGCATTTCTGACTTGTTTGAATTTTGTATTACAAGGATTTATTGCTTTGTTAACTCAAAAAATTAAAACAAAGTGTAAAAATCTTTCTGATAGTAAATACAGAATGTTCTGGAAATTCTCATGACATAGATTTCAAATGAATATTAGAAGAAATTTTAATAGAAAATATATATTTTTAATTAAGTGATATATTGGTATCCTGTTTTTAAATTTTTTTTGGATTAAAATTGATTAGAATGTCACATAAATATTCCTATAGGATGCTAGTGAGCAAAAGACAGAACTTGAAAGGTTGAAGCACAGAATAGCAGAAGAAGTTGTTAAAATTGAAGAAAGAAAAAATAAAATTGATGATGAATTAAAAGAAGTACAGGTAAGTGAAAAACATTTGAAGATCCATTTACATATTTTTTTTAAAAACAAATTTCTTAGTTGTAGATGAATACAATTCCTTTATGTTATTTTTTTTAATTTTTATGTGGTGCTAAGAGTCAATCCCAGCGCCTCATGTGTGCTAGGCAAGCGCCCTACCACTGAGCCACAACCCCAGCCCCTCCATTTACATATTTGACTACTATTTGTAAAGTAGGAATTTAAACATTTTTTATGGCTCAAGTTATTTACTAATAGTATTATCAAATGTAGCCTTCAACCAGAGTGTAAAAGAAAAAGAAAATAAGAAAGCCTGCCAGGGAAAGCAAGTGAATTAACTGGTGGTAATTAAAAATATTTGTTTTCTGTAAATCTTGTTGTTTGATTGTATAGGGAAAAATGTGTTGTAGATAAATAAAACAAATCTTTGAGCCTGTTTTCTCCAGACTTGACTAAATTACCCAACTAGTTCTAAAATTATTTGTAAAGTTATTGTTTTCTTAAAATACTTATTTTGAAAGTAAGGTGACCTTTTTTTTTCTTTTTCTTTTAGCCTTTAGTGAATGAAGCTAAACTAGCAGTTGGAAACATTAAGCCAGAATCTCTTTCAGAAATTCGTTCACTACGCATGCCACCTGATGTAATTCGAGACATTCTTGAAGGAGTTTTAAGGCTAATGGGTATCTTTGATACGTCTTGGGTGAGCATGAAAAGGTAAGTTTTTGAATTTGTGAAAAATGCTATTTCAGCAATGAACTGCACCATCTTTTATAGTTTTTAATATATATATTTTTTAATTTGTCACACTTACCTGTATGTGAATATATGGTTATATCCTTGCCCTGAAATTTTGAGGTGTTCTCTGCAATGCTTCCCATAAGTGATTGTTAAAAATTAATATCTAAGGAGGAGGAAAGAAATGCCTTAGAATCTCTCAGAATATCTCATTAAATTTAATAATTTACTTCATCCCTACATAGTACAGAGCACTGTGATTTTTGTATGATTTAAAGAAAATAGAATCACTATTTTCACAGTCTTGGAGTTTTGGGGCTGAGATGGGGGCAGAAGGGCAGGAGATTGAGAGAGTGAGGGAAAGAGAGAGGAGTGAGCAAACTATAAATAATATGAGAGATATAAACTAGAAAAGGGTGAGTGGTAACTAAACATTGAGTTGTGCACATTCAGTTTTCTTATTATCATACTGGTATTTGATGCCAGTATTATAAGCCTCATTGTTTGATCAGAGAGGGAAAAATGGGTTGTAAATAAGCTTGTTTTCTTTAGAATTGACTAAATTACCCAGCTAGTCCTAATGTGTAAAGAGTCTCTTAAAAAAGGCTAGCTATGGCTTGTGCTGATATTAAGTCTTTTGTTCAATTTAGGTTGATAGTGAAGAGTTCTTTTTATATTTGGTGATAGGAGAAAAGAGTAAGGATGGGAGAATACTTTTAAAATACCTTAGAAAGGAGTTTGAATATTTCTTTGTATATCCTAGAGCATCTGCTCCCCTAGTAGTTCACAAGTAAGGATGTGGGTGGAATAAGATTGTGATTCTGGGTCAAATGGTGGCTCCATTTCCAGTTTTCCAAGAAATCTCCATACTGCTTTCTGTATTGGTTGCACCAATTTGCAGTCCCACAGCAATGTATGAGTGTACCTTTTCCCCCACATCCTTGCCATCACTTATTGTTGTTTGTCTTCATAGTAGCTGCCATTCTGACTGGAAGGAGAAGATATCTTAGAGTAGTTTTGATTTGCATTTCTCTAAATTGCTAGAGATGATGAACATTTTTTTCATGTATTTGTTGATTGATTGTATATTCTCTTCTGAGAAGTGTGTGTGTTCAGGTCCTTGGCCCATTTATTGGGTTATTTGTTTTTTTTTGGTGCTTAACTTTTTGAGTTCTTTATGTACCTAGAGATTAGTGCTATATCTGATGTGTGAGGGGTAAAGATTTGCTCCCAAGATGTAGGCTATCTATTCACTTCACAGATTGTTTCTTTTGCTGAGAAGAAACTTTTTAGTTTGAGTCCCTCTCATTTATTGATTCTTGATTTTAATTCTTATGCCACAGGAGTTTTAAATTAAAAAAAAAAAAAGAAAGTTGGGGCCTAATCCCACATGATGGATATTAGGGCCTACTTTTTCTTCTATTAGATGCAGGGTCTGTTGTATTCCTAAGTCCTTGATCCACTTTGAGTTTTGTGCATGGTGAGAGATAGGGGTTTAATTTCATTTTGTTGCATATGGATTTCCAGTTTTCCCAGCACCATTTGTTGAAGAGGCTGTCTTTTCTCCAATGCATCATTTTGGCACCTTTGTCTAATATAAGATAATTGTAGTTTTGTGGGTTAGTCTCTGTGTCCTCTACTCTGTACCATTGGTCTACCCATCTGTTTTGGTGCCAATATCATGCTGTTTTTGTTACTATTGCTCTGTAGTATAATTTAAGGTGTGGTATAGTGATGCCACCTGATTTACTCTTCCTGCTAAGGATTGCTTTAGCTATTCTGGGTCTCTTATTTTTCCAGATGCATTTCATGATTGTTTTTTCTATTTATAAGGTGACTGACTCATAGTAAGGTAGGGAGGGGAAGCATGGGAGGAATAGAGGAACTCTAAATAGGGCAGAGGGGTGGGAGGGGAAGAGAGGGGGCAGGGAGTTAGCAATGATGGTGGAATGTGATGGACATCATTATCCAAAGTACATGTATGAAGTCATGAATTGGTGTGAACATACTTTATATACAGAGATATGAAAAATTGTGCTCTATATGTGTAATAAGAATTGTAATTCATTCCACTATCATGTATTTAAAAATAAAATTAATTAAAAAAATAAGATTGTGATTCTGACATTTCTCTTGTTGCTTTAGTTTATTCACAGGACATTAAACAGTTTTTCATTTTTCTAGAGTTTGTTTTTGCTGTCTATAAAAAATAACAGATAGCCATCAGAATCTTAAATTTTTTAATATTCTGTTTTTGTTAATCAATGGATTAAAAGTATTACATATATCATTTTGTCATATTGATGTTTTTCTGAAATTTCAATTTTCACTTAGCCTCATTTGAATTATTATGTTTTCATTTTAGTTTTCTTGCCAAAAGAGGTGTAAGAGAAGACATAGCAACCTTTGATGCACGAAATATTCCAAAGGAAATAAGAGAGAGTGTTGAAGAACTTCTTTTTAAAAACAAAGGCTCTTTTGATCCAAAGGTAATTTTTAACAGTTATAACATAAATTCTGTTTTCTATTGCATGTGATATTAGACTTTTAAAGATGTCATTACCAGTTGTTAGATCACCTGAAAACTAAAACTAAAAAACATACAAACAAAAAAATCACCAACCTATAGGTGTTATAGTTGGGAAGCATTCACTAGAAGAATTGGTAAGCTAGAATCCAGGTTGCAGGAGAAAATATAAGTGGTGTTTGACTCTTAGTATCTGCTCTCAATGTTAAATTCCCATGAGAACATTTAATAATTTTTTACTTGCAACTTTTCTATTATGCTTTTTCCTCCTGTGTACTTAACAGATAATAACAGATAACTGTGTTAGGATAGTTGTATCAAATTTCAGTGCACAGTTTAAATTCCACGATTTTGGTGTTTTTAAGATTCTTATTCAAATTGTTATATACATATTCTTTGACATCAATGATAATGATTTCAAAATTGTTCTTATCTAATAAAAGTATATCATCTGTATAGAAGGAAAATAATGCTTGAATATTGTGGTTGTCATATTTATTATAATTGGGACCAATGGAGTAATTATGTTGCTAAATCATCTTTATGCTAAAGATTCTGTGTGGTTCAAGATTTATTTTTAACCTAAAAGTTTAGTTCATGTATATTCCTCTTAATCAGAATAGCAGTTCACTATATTTTTATTTTAGCTGTAAGTCAAACATTTCATTATTTAGGTTAATTTTTAAATAAATATGTTATTTATTTACTAGATAAAAATGTGTTAAAGTGAACTTTGCATTTGTTTGGAATTGTGTCAGGATATTTGGTAACTTCTAGTAAACTTTTTTAGAATGCTAAACGTGCCAGTACTGCAGCTGCGCCTTTGGCTGCCTGGGTTAAAGCCAATGTACAGTATTCTCATGTCTTGGAACGAATTCAGCCTTTGGAAACTGAACAGGCAGGATTAGTATCGTAAGTGAAATATAATATAATACATATTCTACCATTTGTTGTTACCAATTTTATGAATTTGTTATATCATTTGTATTCATTTTTTTCTCCATTTTAAAAAGGCACCTAGTATTAAAGGTTAAAATGAGTTAATTAAATATAAATTGTAAATTAAATGAATCAAAAAATAAAGCAATTAGAAAGATACAGATAGCAGAACAAACTCAGTTTATCTCTGTCATTATTTTGTTAGAAGAATGTTATTCCTTTAGAAAGAGTCAAGTTTTATAAAGTAATAATATTAAATGTAAAAAAGAAGTTTTGGAATTGAGGGCTTTTATGTTGGTTTTCATCATCTAAGTTCTAGGAAATATTTAGAATATGTTTTTTGAAAAAATTTCTGAGCATGTAGGAGGAAGATTTAGTGATTTATTATTTGATCTTAAAGGTCCAATTGGCTAGTAAGTCAGTATTATTTTTTACTCCTTTGTTCTAAATGCAGACTGAGAGGTTTGTTATGTTCTTGATTGTTCAATGTCTCACATGACCTATTAACTTTTTTTTTTTTTACCTTTGTTTTTATTTATTTATATTTTATTGGTTGTTCAAAACATTACAAAGCTCTTGACATATCATATTTCATACATTTGATTCAGGTGGGTTTTGAACTCCCAATTTTACCCCAAATACAGATTGCAGAATCACGTCGGTTACACATCTACATTTTTACATAATGCCCTATTAGTAACTGTTGTATTCTGCTACCTTTCCTATCCTCTACTATCTCCCCTCCCCTCCCCTCCCATCTTCTTTCTCTATCCCATCTACTGTAATTCATTTCTCTCCTTGTTTATTTTCCCATTCCCCTCACAACCTCTTATATGTAATTTTGTATAACAATGAGGATCTCCCTCCATTACCATGCAATTTCCCTTTTCTCTCCCTTTCCCTCCCACCTCATGTATCTGTTTAATGTTAATCTTTTCTTCCTGCTCTTCCTCCCTGCTTTGTTCTTAGTTGCTCTCATTATATCAAAGAAGACATTTGGTATTTGTTTTTTAGGGATTGGCTAGCTTCACTAAGCATAATCTGCTCTAGTGCCATCCATTTCCCTGCAAATTCCATGATTTTGTCATTTTTTAGTGCTGTATAATACTCCATTGTGTATAAATGCCACATTTTTTTTTATCCATTCATCTATTGAAGGGCATCTGGGTTGGTTCCATAGTCTAGCGATTGTGAATTGTGCTGCTATGAACATCGATGTAGCAGTATCCCTGTAGTACGCTCTTTTAAGGTCTTCGGGGAATAGTCCGAGAAGGGCAATAGCTGGGTCAAATGGTGGTTCCATTCCCAGCTTTCCCAGGAATCTCCATACTGCTTTCCAAATTGGCCGCACCAGTTTGCAGTCCCACCAGCAATGTACAAGAGTACCCTTTTCCCCACATCCTCGCCAGCACTTGTTGTTGTTTGACTTCATAATGGCTGCCAATCTTACTGGAGTGAGATGGTATCTTAGGGTGGTTTTGATTTGCATTTCTCTGACTTCTAGTGATGGTGAGCATTTTTTCATGTACTTGTTGATTGATTTTATGTCCTCCTCTGAGAAGTGTCTGTTCAGGTCTTTGGCCCATTTGTTGCATGGGTTATTTGTTTTCTTATTGTTTAATTTTTTGAGTTCTTTGTATACTCTGGATATTAGGGCTCTATCTGAAGTGTGAGGAGTAAAGATTTGTTCCCATGATGTAGGCTCCCTATTTACCTCTCTTATTGTTTCTCTTGCTGAGAAAAAACTTTTCAGTTTAAGTAAGTCCCATTTGTTGATTCTTGTTATTAACTTTTGTGCCATGGGTGTCCTATTGAGGAATTTGGAGCCCGACCCCTCAATATGTAGATCGGAGCCAACTTTTTCTTCTATCAGACGTAGAGTCTCTGATTTGATATCTAGCTCCTTGATCCACTTTGAGTTAACTTTTGTGCATGGCGAGAGGAGGGGATTCAGTTTCATTTTGTTGCATATGGATTTCCAGTTTTCCCAACACCATTTGTTGAAGATGCTATCCTTCCTCCATTGCATGCTTTTAGCTCCTTTATCAAATATAAGATAGTTGTAGCTTTGTGGATCAGTCTCTGTGTCCTCTATTCTGTACCATTGGTCCACCCGCCTGTTTTGGTACCAGTACCATGCTGTTTTTGTTACTATTGCTCTGTAATATAGTTTTAAATCTGGTATTGCTATACCACCTGATTCACACTTCCTGCTTAGAATTGCTTTTGCTATTCTGAGTCTTTTATTTTTCCATATGAATTTCATGATTGCTTTATCTATTTCTACAAGAAATGCCATTGGGATTTTGATTGGCATTGCATTAATCCTATAGAGAACTTTTGGTAATATCGCCATTTTGATGATGTTAGTTCTGCCTATCCATGAACAGGGTATATTTTTCCATCTTCTAAGATCTTCTTCTACTTCTCTTTTTAGGGTTTTGTAGTTTTCATTGTATAAATCCTTCACCTCTTTTGTTAGGTTGATTCCCAAGTATTTTATGTTTTTTGAGGTATTGTGAATGGAGTGTTTTTCCTCATTTCCGTTTCAGAAATTTTGTCGCTGATATACAGAAATGCCTTTGATTTATGCGTGTTGATTTTATATTCTGCCACTTTGCTGAATTCATTTATTAGTTCTAGTAGTTTTTTTGTAGACCCTTTTGGGTCTTCTATGTATAGAATCATGTCATCTGCAAATAGTGATAATTTAAGTTCTTCGTTTCCTATTTTTATGCCTTTAATTTCTTACGTCTGTCTAATTCCTCTGGCCAGTGTTTCGAGAACTATATTGAATAGAAGTGGTGATAGAGGGCATCCCTGTCTTGTTCCAGATTTTAGGGGGAATGCCTTCAATTTTTCTCCATTGAGAATGATGCTAGCCTGAGGCTTAGCATAGATAGCTTTTACTATGTCGAGGTAAGTTCTGTTATTCCTAGTTTTTCTAATGTTTTGAACATAAAGGGATGCTGCACTTTGTCGAATGCTTTTTCTGCGTCTATTGAGATGATCATATGGTTCTTATCTTTAAGTCTATTGATGTGGTGAATAACATTTATTGATTTCCGTATATTGAACCATCCTTGCATCCCAGGGATGAATCCTACTTGATCATGGTGCACAATTTTTTTGATGTGCCTTTGTATCCGATTCGCCAGAATTTTATTGAGGATTTTTGCATCTAGGTTCATCAGAGATATTGGTCTGTAGTTTTCTTTCTTTGAGGTGTCTTTGGTTTCGGAATCAGGGTGATGTTGGCCTCATAGAATGAATTTGGCAGAGCTCCCTCTTTTTCTATTTCCTGAAATAGCTTGAAAAGTAATGGTATTAATTCTTCCTTAAAGGTTTTGTAAAACTCCGCTGTATACCCATCCGGTCCTGGGCTTTTCTTGGTTGGAAGTCTTTTGATTGCTTCTTCTATTTCATCTATTGATATTGGTCTGTTTAAGTTGTGAGTATCCTCCTGACTCAGTCTGGGCAAATCATATGACTTAAGGAATTTATCGATGTCTTCACTATCTTCTATTTTATTGGAATATAGGTTTTCAAAATAATTTCTAATTGTCTTCTGTATTTCTGTAGCGTCTGTTGTGATATTGCCTTTTTCATCCCGTATGGTAGTAATTTGAGTTCTCTCTCTTCTTCTCTTCGTTAGCATGGCTAAGGGTTTGTCGATCTTATTTATTTTTTCAAAGAACCAACTTTTAGTTTTGTTAATTTTTTCAATAGTTTCTTTTGTTTCAATTTCATTGATTTCCGCTCTGATTTTAATTATTTCTTGCCTTCTGCTACATTTGCTCTTGTTTTCCTCTTCCTTTTCTAGGGCTTTGAGATGAAGTGTGAGCTCATTTATTTGTTGGTTTTTCCTTTTTTTGAGGAATGACCTCCAGGTGATGAATTTCCCTCTTAAAACTGCTTTCATTGTGTCCCATAGATTCCGATATGTTGTGTCTGTATTTTCATTTATCTCTAAGAATTTTTTGATTTCCTCCTTTATGTCTTCTGTAACCCATTGATCATTCAGTAACATATTGTTCATTTTCCATGTGATGTAGGATTTTTCCTTCCTTTTTTTTTATCATTGATTTCCAGTTTCTTTCCATTATGATCAGATAAAATGCATGGGATTATCTCCCCCCCTGTATATTTACTGAGGGTTGCCCTATGGCATAATATATGGTCTATTTTTGAGAAGGATCCATGTGCTGCTGAGAAAAAAGTATATCCACTTGATGATGGTTGATATATTCTATATATGTCAGTGAAGTCTAGGTTGTTAATTGTGATATTGAGTTCTATAGTTTCTTTATTCAACTTTTGTTTGGAGGATCTGTCAAACGGTGAGAGAGGTGTGTTGAAGTCACCCATAATTATTGTGTTGTGGTCTATTTGATTCTTGAACTTGAGGAGAATTTGTTTTATGAACGTCGCAGCACCATTATTTGGTGCATACATATTGATAATTGTTATGTCTTGTTGGTGAATGGTTCCTTTTAACAGTATATAATGTCCTTCCTTATCCCTTTTGATTAACTTAGTCTTGAAGTCGATTTTATTCGATATGAGGATGGTCACCCCTGCTTGCTTACGAGGACCGTGTGCGTGGTATATTTTTTCCCAACCTTTCACCTTCAGCCTGTGTATGTCTTTTGGAATCAGATGTGTCTCCTGGAGGCAGCATATTGTTGGATTTGTTTTTTTAATCCATGTTACCAGCCTATGTCGCTTTATTGGAGA